CATGATCTGATGCATCGCGCCATACCACATGACCTGCGCCGATCCCAACCCATCTACATATTTTTCTGCTAACAATAGTAATGTATCTCACAATCTAAACATTAATTATGTAACATTTTACTCAATTAAAAAAGATCACGAAAAATGCCTCACTTAACACTTTAAAAAAAAAGAATATTCTAATTTAATACCATATTCTAATTTGTTATTTATTTTAAAAAAAATAATTCAATAAGAAAGAAAATTTAAAACTATAGATAATAATAATAAGTATATTAATTTATTTAACTTAAAAAATATATAATTTCAATAGTAATTATTATATAATAATATCAATGATAAAATAAGTAATACAAAATATATTATACAAATAGTATAAATAAATTAATAGAAAAAGCAAAATCATAAAAATGCAATAGTTTAAATTATATTTTTTCAAAATATTGAAAATATATGACACATAACATATAATTTTAAAAAACTTTTGATATTATTATAGTATTAGTTTACAAATATCCATAATTTTATATTGTTTTATATTTGGAAAATAATAAAAAATTGTTTGATTTCTTTTATATTTAATTAAGTTTTTTATTAATATCTTGTTATAAATTCTTTAATATAAAAATGTTATATTAATTTTATTTTATTAAATAATATTAACAAAAATCTATATAAATGATTATAAGTTGTATTTTTTAAACAATAATAATTTTTTTAAAATAAAGCTTGTGTTTTTTATATTTAATTATAAAGTAAAAATCTTTAAAAAACTTTTATATTCATAACAAAATAATTGTAATTTATGTTATTCACAAGTTTTTACAAACTTGTTTGATAATCATTATTTAATTAAAAATCTCAATCAATTTTTTTTTATTGATATAATATAATCTTGAATAATTAATAAATTTTCAAAATATAATAAAATAATTGTACTGAATTAAATTGAAAAAAAAAACAAATTAAAAATTTTATATGGATTCAAAAAAAAAAAAAATACAATTCTGAGTAAATTGAATTTTGTGTACTTGGTAATTTTTAAATTACTGTAGTTTCTAATTTCAAATATATAAATATACAGCAAATCAATAAATTTATATAACTTGAAATATATTATTAAAAAAAAAAGGAGTATTTTGCTATAATTAATATAATTCGGTATTAAATGAAATTATAATAAGCCTTAAAATTCAGAATAATCTTATCATTCATTTTTTCTAAAATTGATTTATTTTTCGACTATTTAATTTACTCACGAGGGATTGTCATGTTGATCAAATTTCATCATGCCAACAAATGAAAATCACCAGATTCTCGGTTTCATTGGAACCTTCCCAATTGGATCCTTTTTTCCTTTTTTTTGTTTCTATGAAAATTGATGGATTTCATTAATAGCAGCTTCCCGAAAAGTCGATCTAGAATTGGACGTCATTATCTAGAAGTATGGTAGTAGTGATCTTTAAGGATATTAGGGCCATACGTAATTAACCCTAGCCATGATTAGCAAACCCTATTGAAAATCCCAAAAAAAGGTGGTCTTTGTGTTCACGCAAAATAGTTAGTCGTGTGTATAAATAAATACAGTAATTTTGCAATATATCCTTTAACAGGGGTACGCTTTTAAGGTTATATCAATTGAATGATTCCCAATCGCCTGACGTTCGCTGTTAAAATAAAACGTCATTGCGATGACATCAAGTGCATCATTTTTTACGTCACATAGAGGCCTCAAGTGGAATGGTCATGTTTATTAGTTTATTTGTAAGTAAATCTTATAGCTAACCTAGAGTTTGATATATATATAAATTCTTAAAAAAATTGATTTGATATTCGAGTTAATCTTTGGTTTCGATCAATTATTGTTATTTAAACCGCACCTAAATAATTTTTAACTCAACATTGATTTCTTGTATATTCCAATTTTATTGAGATTCCTCGGTGCGAATAGAGATCGAGACCATGAGTTTATCAAATTCAGTGCTGGAAGGAAATTCCCAAAATGTTTTTGATCAGAAGGGAATAATTGTGGGCGGAAGTGAAAATGGAAATAGAACGGATGAAGGAATTGATGATTGCAATGTCATAGAGGTTCTGGAGATTTCTGATGATAAAAACGTTGGCATAAATACTTCAAATACAAAGCGTCAAAAACGAATATTGAGATCTCGAGAGATAGACAAGACATTTCGGATAATGGCTTTTCGAAAGTCAGAGAGACAAGTGATAGGTCGGTATCGTAGACAATCAGTAACACGAGTGTTTTGGACCATGATGTTCATGATAGCGTTCTTGTCGTTGATGGGTGCCGGAGTTGGCGGAAACTTGGGTAAGCACCATTTTTGTTTTTTAAAGCCATATCAATGCATACTTTTCTATTGAAAAGTTAACTCTTTAAATCGTAGACCGTTTCAACACTTGGTCAAGATGGCCCGAGTTTGTCATGTTGATCGCAACCATTGGAATTATGATGTATATATATTACAAAGTGTGTATCCGTGGCATTATGTAAAACTTCTCGAGTCTTTTTTTGCTAATACAGACCATTCTGCAGATAACAGAGGTTACCAGATGGTGTTTTTATTGGTATGTCTCATAATTCTTATATTGTCTTGTATGTTATCATGATTGATCGACCAAAACTTTTGATCTTTATCACAGGATAGCCATCGCCACCGTAATCCTTCTGATAATAAATCATGGATCGTTGGTGAACGAAACTTCCGATGGATTCGCGTCAACCAAAGAAACCAAAATAATTCTCCTAATACTTGTGATTCTCGAATCCTTAACTCTTACTATTTGGGTAATTGTTCGCTACGCATATCCTCGAATAGTAAAAAACGCCTACTGGTTGGACACCATTAGGTGGTGGAGAATTAAGGAAGCAAGTACTGAAAACCTTGAAGGGGATGCAGTAGGGTGTTTTCGTTACTTCGCTTGGGAGAGTTATAGTTTTTGGTTTCGGCATGGATATGTGACATACGTGGGGGAAGTTGATGGGGACGGTCGGCCGCATGGTCGAGGCGAATGGGTCGATGATTCCTTTGATGGAGAATGTCTTAAAGGTAATATTAATTTGCCGCATCATTATCTTAATGATTCCAGTATTATTGAAAATGTTTAGATACACCAATTATTTCACAGGCATCTGGGAGCACGGTATACCTATCGGCCCATTCCAATCGAGGGGCTCAGGCACCGGAGACGCGTTTCATGCCGTACGCGTAGGTTTCGTAAAAAACCGTTGTACGCCTTGGTACGAGAAAAGATTTTACCCGAGGCCCTTTGAAAGCGGTTTAGATGTTGGTGTGGCAGCCGTCGAATGCTCTGTCTCTGGAAAGTATTTAAAATATCTTCCACGCGCAAGCTTGATCGTTCCACCGAAATCTCGTTATGGTCTTCAGAACAATTTCAATCAAAACACTTCAGATACATCACCAGATATTTTATCATGCAATTCATCTCCGAATAATTTACAAATTGAACATTGTCTTGAAAATTTGACCACATTCGTAGCTGCAATGGGATCAGATTCTGGAGCAAAAGAACAATCGTCAATCATTATAAGGCTTGAGGATGAGGTGGTTAATATTACAGGGTATTATCCGATCGATAATTATGCATTGAATGATCAAGTAATTGTGAAAAGGGTGCCGAGGAGAGAAGAGTCGAATATGGACTCGCAAAGGAACCACTATACATTAGAAGTTGAAGGATGGAAACAGTCTGATGATTCTTCTGTTACTAATAAGGAATGCATAATTTTTATACATGGGTTCAACTGCTCAACAAAATTTGCGATGGAAACATTAGGTCAGTTTTTGGTTCTTGCTGATTTACCGAATTACATAAAACCATTTGTATTCTCGCCGCCTGGAATAAATGCATTTTGGTATTTTAGCGCACAAACTCGAAGTTGTTCTGAGGAATCCATTAACGGTAATTGAGTAAAATTTTACAAACATCTGGAATGCAAACAATGTTTTCAAAAAATTTATTTACTGACTTAACGGCGTGGTAAATGATGACAGAATTTCGAACCTTTCTGCAACAACTTCAAGATTTAGGATTTCATGCGGTACACATAATAGGCCATTCACTGGGATGCATGGTTGTGCTCAACTATGTTAAAGCATTCGAAGGGATATTTACCGTACACGACAGTTCACGACATAATACCAAACTAGAAACTTCATACGAATTCGACCGATCCGACCCCATGAGTTCTCACGAAAACATACATCACATTCCAGTTAACACTCCAACAATGAAACTCTCATCTGTAATCTTACTCAACCCCGCTGCGCCTCTTGATTTCTTCGTGGACCATGGCTACTCGCAGCTCTACAAGTATTGTGATCACATTACCATCTATACAAATTCTCGAGATTTTGCATTGAAAATGGGTGAAATTCTGAGCAAAAAAAGATCTTTAGGTAGACAAGTTGATGATATTTATAGCAATGGAAAACTTATAGATATCGATCTGATTGACACCACTCAATTGGATGTAAACATTCATAAGATTAGACACAATTTTTTTAATTTGAACAGGTTACTGGTAGATGATTTGTGGGATATCATAGTAATGAGAAAAAGAGCAAGTGAGAGGAAGTCAAAATTGAATAGAAAGGAAAGACATGGACGAGGGGGAATAGTGTACACATTCTTAGTGGCACCAAGTTATGTTGTTAACAAGTGAACAAAATTAAATGATGAGAATGTGTGATTTCACGAAAGAAAGGTAAATTTTATTTGAATGACTGTTTTATTGTTATTAAACATATCAAATTTTACACCGCACTAATAATAATGTATTTTAAGTCGCATAAAGTTTAGGAAATGTCTTAACAATAAAAATGAAATATTAGTTTATTGTTGATATGACTTTTTTGGGGGGTGGCAATGGCAATTATACTAGAAATATTTATTATATTGATTAGGTTATTGAAAAAAAAATAATAATAATCTTTTTCTTGTTAATTATGTTTATATCAAATAAATTTCTAATTACTCAATACGAATTTACTACCTGTGCATTTTATTATATTATATTCAAGATACAGTAATAATAACATAAGAATCTGAAGTCACATAACACGAAACCTCTTAATTTAGATATTAGGATGTTAGATAATACTGTGGTATTGTAATCGTTACCGGTGAGCCTGTCGCTAACCCGGGCCAATTCTCGCGTAACGATAGGGTCAAGCAAAGTTAAATTAGTAAACTCTATCTATTGGTTCTAAATCACTGGCGTTCCTAAATTAATAACTACTTGGGTATTATTGCGAATACAAGAGCCCCGGAGAATAACTTTTCATTCACTTTTTCAACGTATTAATCAAATAAAAAATTTTCTATGTTCTAAGACCTTGTTTATTTAATTACACATAATTTAATACAATAGCTTTCAATAATACTGTAATGTTAAAGTAACGAAAAGATTGATAGTAAAAGTTTACAAAGTTCACACCCTACTATTACCTTTAATTAATGCTAGATGTCTTTGCTTTTTCTTGAAACATTCGTTCTATCTCCATCTTAATACTTAGAAAATTCAATTCCTGCATTAACTCATTAATACATTTTTCAAGAATCTTATCTAATTTCTCTGTATCTGGTTGTTGTTGTAGTTCTTGGTATAAAGTTTTTGTTTTATCTAAACTTCTTTCGACTCTTCTCACAACTTTCTTACGTTTGTAATTTAAAATATATAGACTAACCCGTTCGGTAGCATATGTGATCGCAAAACCTAACGTAATTACAGACGATTCAAAGGCACTTATTCCAACCATATCAGAAAAAGTTAGTGCCATATTAAATAATCTATCTTTAAATTTCACTTCCTTGATACTCTTTTTGAGACTAAGAACACCCCATATCTCATCTCTCGCCTTTTCTTTTTCTTGAAATTTTTCATTTCCTTTAATGGAATGAGAAATTTCATGCTGATAAGTTTCATTACACTTTCTTAAATGTTTTAATAACATGGTTCTAGATATAACACGATCATTCTGATATTTGGGATGATTTTCCACATGAATGACATTTTTTCCTTCATGAAATTTAATTAATTCTGAAATTTCGCCGCCTTGCTCTATCATTTCATCAATATCTTCTTTGCGTTCCTTTTCTTCTTCAAAGTGTGGAAAATTAGTTCGGACGATAGTAATAAATTTGGGAATTTTTTCTTCATCAAAAAAAGCCTCAAAAAGTAAATTATAACAGTCTATTTCTTCTTTCGTCAATCTACCTTTAGTAACAAAGAGGACTTGGTTCAAATTATCCTTAAAATCATAAACAGCTCCAACTATTTTCTTATATACATTCTTTTCATTTTCACTATCAGTGTCGCAGATTCCAGGAGTGTCAATTATAGTATATTCAATTTCTTCGTGCCGAAATTTCTCCACTTGACACTCCTTAGTTCCACTTTGACAACCTCTAAACTCATGAAAACTATTTGTATTGGTTAAAACATTGGCTATGGTAGATTTACCATTGCCAGTTTTCCCAACCAAAAGAATTACTCTTTTTTCTGACATTTTTTATTGTATGTGCTTTTTTTAACGTTTCAAGAGGCAACTTACTGTATAAATGAGCAGAGATTTTTTTCCCGAAATAAATGACATGGGGGTGTTCTCCTTACCTCATGTATGCAATACCCCTACGGCATTCTTGCGTCACCCATGCGTCAAATGTGCAGCACTCGTGCAGACAAATTTGTAGTGAAATTTCCGTATATTTAAGTGATCGATTTTTATTTCGGCAGAAATCGAAAATCGAAAGTTACAATTTGGCATTTAATAAAGAAACCAGAGCTTAATGTTAGGAAATAAAATTAAGCTTCCGATTTAGCATTTAATAAAAAAGAAATTTATATTTAGCATCCAATTAAAAAAAAAGTAAAATTTTATAAATAAATAAAAAAAAACAAAATAAATAAATAAAAAATAAATACTGTAAATAAAAATAAAGAAATATAAAGAAATAAAAAAAAAAAAAAACTCTTGAAAATTTCCTTTTTAGGAAACTTTTGAGTTGTTTACTTTTTTCGCTTTCCCCTTTCCTTCCCTCTCTTTACTTCAAATCTTCCATATCTCTTTATTTCCCCTCTCTTATTCTCTCTCTTCTCTTCTATATACTCTTTTATTCATTCCATTCCTCTCCTTCTCTTTTCCCCTTCCTTGCCAAAGTTGGGTTTTCCCTTCTTCCTGAAGGTTTTCTTTCTAGGCCTCTCTCTCCTTTATAAACTCCATTCTCCATAACATCACTCCTCTGGCCAGCCAGTTCCCTTTTCTCAAGACTATATTCAGAAGTGGTTTTTTTCTCTCAAGATGTGGACTTCAGAATTTTTCTCTTTTCCATGATCTTACAGAAAAAGAATGGATAGTTTACCCCCTCCAAAAGATCAGCATGGTTATCATTACCAAATCTAATATTGTTTACTTGTTGATGGTTAGACTAGATACATCTAAGAAACCAATGTACAACTATTATTATTCAAAAGTATCCAGAGTGAAATGGTAGCCAATGCCAATATAGCTAATAATAAGTTAGGTTAGTGTGCAGGTGTCATGCTGATGATTGAAAAAGTCAGTAGGATAATACATGAAGATCAAGAATTCTAGTTATCCTCACAACATAAGCTGATAATGACAACAAAAGTTTTTCACTTATTCCTCTGACAATATAGGCTTATTGTACAAGATTAGGTATCAACACCTTTAAGAAAATCCAACTTCACTACATATCCAATACTTTCCTTAACAAACAATTACTTTATGTCCAATCTATTCTTCACACTCACCAATTCCACCTTATCCTAAAACCAAGATATATCCTTCAAAGCTACTCTAACAGCAAGATTAATTGTCGCCTCTCAGCCTACAGTCCTAGTGATAAGTTTCAAAATGGGAGGTCTATACTAAATAAAAATGGTAAAAGATTAATGTTGCCAAAGGGTTGCATTGGTATTAAAAACGATTGCTGCCCTCCAGCCTTTAGTCTTAGTGATGAGTTTAAATAGAGGATTAATGTTAGGTGCAAATGATAAAAGATTTGTTTTATTTTGATGTATTTGATGTTAGTATAGCTTGGAACCAACTCTTGCTCCACTTGTCATATATCAAGCTACAGTTAGAAAACAAGTGTACCAATTCTAACTATGACTTGAAGGCCAATTTGTATATAGTGGCTGCAGCACTTTCATGTAGTTAGGTAACCAAATTCTTTAAATAGTTAGATGCCAGTCAAGGCATAATATAGGTTTTGAATTTCTTTTTCCTATATTCTTAAGTGGTGCTAAGAAGCTCAAGCAGATAAACTGCAATTGTGAGCCTTGCATTAAACTCTTCCTAGCAAAGAAATATATATACTACACCATAAAGTTTATAAATCTTGTATTTGCAAGTCTAAAATTTATAATAAAAATAATGTGTGGGAACCACTTGTTCCTTTAAAAAATAAAGAAATATAAAGAAATAAAGAAATACAGTGGTGAACAAAAATACTTGCACTATATATATATATTTATTTATTATAATATTTTAATAACTAATTGATAAAATAAGATAAAAATCTATATTAATATATTTAAGAATATAAAAAACAAGTTTACTTAATAAAGTTTTTAAAATATATTATTGAAATTTTCTTAAAATTTAATTTAAAAAAAATTTTTTTAAAAAAATAATTGATTTTAGTTACATTACAAAATAGAAATAATAAAAATTATTAAAATTATTTTAATATATATATTTGTTAAATAAAGATCATAATAATAATAATATAATAAAAAAAAAAAAAACTCTCATCTGTTCACTGCTGATTTTTTTAAATTTCCTTTTTAGGAAATCTTCTTCCAAGAAGCATTTTTCTTTCTTTACTTCTCTAAGACAACTAAGCTTTAAACATAGAACATAAAGACTCAAGAAATATTGTTGCAATGGGATAGAACCTTTAGTCAAAACCTAAATAAGTTGAAAGTCTTCTTTAGCTCTTAATTGTATAGAAAAAGATCTGTAGCATTTTTCCTTCATAATTTTTGTTTTTAAAAACCTTTTCTTCAATATAACCATTATAATCGCTTCCTCTTTTTCCTTTTTCCCTCTATATTACAAATATATCTTTAACTACACATTCAAACAAAGTTACTGGATTTAATGTTTGTCATAACACAACCTTTACAAATTTTCTTTATTTTTTATTTTTCTTTTCTTATCAAAAACAATAATATGTATCACCTCACCCTATCACTATTTCAAAAAAAAACTATATTCAGTTTTACCTTATCAAAAGATCAACACACAATCAACAACCAATAACCAATCAAATTTCTTCACTTTTTTAATAACAAAATCAAATCTGTTCAAACTTGTTTTCAACTAGTTTTTTAACAAAATACTTATACACTAACAATAATAATAATAATAATAATAATAATAATAATAATAATAATAATCACAAATAACTGACAATATATTAAATTGGAAGAGAGTATAACTGTGCTCTATATAGGTTCCAATAATCTTTAACTAAACAAGCATCAAAATAATATAACAAAATTAGAGCAGGCTCTATATCCGACTCACTATTATCTCAACTATATTACTAATCTACAAACCATTCAACTTGTCACAATTATTGTTAACAATGAAGTTGTGATTCATAAGCAGCAATGCTACCATTAAAGAAAAAAGACATCTTAAGCCTAACCAATATGGATAAAAGTAAAGTACTTTTGTTATGAGTGGAAGTGAAATACCAGGAAGTTGTGCCCCATAATCTGACAGTCTAAACCAGTGCTCCTCTAATACTGCTGGAGTCATGCCTAGTTATCAAAAAGGAAGTATTAATCTAGATAGACACATTTGGTTTGTACCCTGCAAAAGGGATTATTAATATAAAGATAATTGCATTCAAAACCCATTACTTATAATCCTTACTTCAATAATTCTTATTCTTAATTTCTTAACTATATGCAGTTTTCGAGAAGTGATTAACTCTAACTTCAAATTAACATATATAGTAATATCATGTCAAAAACTATCAACTTTCAACTTTTAATACTTTTATACTTCTTCACTTATACTATAGTGACTAAGGATCCTAACGATTCTCTTCAATTCTGTATTTGATTCTCAAGTTTATATTAAATTTAATAGGTGGAGTATACCCCACCATCATTTTTAATAGTGTTCCGAACCTCATATGATTCTATTCAATTCTATTCGATTCCAATTTTCAGAACTATAGTTATGAGACTAACTATACATTAGTATTAATTTAATATTTTTCTTTAAAGCTTCTTATAAAATCATCAGCAGGAAAAGAGAATTGATATTTTGAAATTAATTGAGATAAAGTACAGTCTAGTCTGTATTTTCAAATATATAAATAGGTTTCAATTGTTCTAATAATTGTTATATATCAACTAGATAATCACTATATTATTATGTCTTATTGGAAAGATCATAATCTTAATATTTATTGAATTAATATATAAATTGACTTTCTATAAGAAACAGTATATTTTAAATTATAATGCCAGATATTATATTAATATTATTCAACTGTCTCCATATGGAGTTGAACTGATATCTTGTGATCTGACTTGTGAAGCACTAACTACTGTACTATATTACAGGTCTACTAATATATATTTCTTATTAAATAGCTATATTATTTTTCTAAAGATCTTTTTTGTAAATTAAAAAATCAAACTATATATTAAAAATGTTTATATTGTTAACTTGAAGAACCAGTAATATATTCATTTTTTACTTTTTACTATCATCCAACATATTTTACTATGCTATAAAAAATATAAAACTTTTTTTCAAAAAAATTTTTGCAAAAAAATCACAATCAGTTTACTTCTATTAATTAATTAACATCTTAAAACCAACTAATCAAATATTACTAATCATTTAAACAAACTCATATTACCAAAATATTATATACTGATTAATATAAACAAAACCTTTTTTGGTAACAACTATTAAAACAAAATCACATTATTAACAAACAAATCAATTATACTATCAATAAACAAACCAATCACCAATTATATTAACACAACAATAATATAATTATCATAACCAGTCAACTATTAAAGAAATATATCATTAATACTATTATATACTTTGGACAGTAACCTGGCCATTTGTAATAAGTGCATATATATCATACTTCAATTAAATTGAATTACTAGAGTAGTATGCTTCTCTGTAATATCTTTAGCTTTATAATTAGTTTTTTTGTATTTATTTCTTTGCTTAATATTTTTTTTCTTCAATATTTATTTCTTATAATTTGTTATATATAAATCTGAGTAGGTATTCATAGCTACTTGATATTATCTTTAACAATGTATTGGTTTTAATATTTCTTTTTCTTTATAACTTAGATAGTTTACTATAGGCAAACTAATATTAAACTTATTAATTAGTTGATTATGTAAGTTATATTATTACTTTCTTTATATATGAATTTTTTAATTTTACAATTATAATAAAATGACAATATTTATTTACTTTTAAAA